AGCCAATATTGTTTCAAAAGTGAGGCAGTACCCGCACAATATCACAGCAGTACTGCCAGCGTCGCCTGAGTAACCGCCGGACATCGCGTATACCTATAGAGCACTAACAGCATCGGCTGAGCATCCGCCGGACATCACGTGCAACAGAGTACCGTGAGTGTCGTCTGTGAACCCGCCGGACACCACCCGTGCATCCATAGAGTACTTAGAGAGTCGCCCGAGTATCCGCCGGACATTGCGTATGTCAGTCGAGTACTAGCAGTGCTGTCAAAGCACCAGCCGGATATCGCACTCATATCCATTGAGTACTTGGAGCGTCGGCCCTCGATGCCGCCCAATTCATGTGCTACAAATTTTTTAGAGCGCACCTCTTAGGCGCCCATTTCCGGCTTGAGCGTCGTCGCCGTCGGCGTAACCGCGGCGACGTTTCAGCATGGTGACGTTTCGGCACCGTGCTGAAACGTCCTCGTGACCCCCTCAGGGGGGTCACGTAACCCTCCTGAGGGAGGTCCTGAGGGGGGTCACCTGACCTTAGGGGGTCACGTGACCCCCCTCGGGGTTCTCTCAGGACCTTTTCAGGGGGTCCTGAGGGAGGTCACGTGACCCCCTTTGAGAGGGTCCTGAGGCGGGTCACGTGACCTCAGGGGGTGTATTGAGGGGGGTCACGTGACCCCCGTGAGGTCATGAGGGTCACGCGACGTCACGAGGGTCACGTGACTTTACGGGCACGCCGGTGGCGACACCAACGCCGCTCCGAGGGAGGAGTAGCAGGCAGGATGAGGAGGTGAGGAGGAGGGATATACCCTCCCCTCAGTACCCTTCCCTCCTCCTCCTTAAGAGCTGCGCTCTAATACGGCGTTACAGGGAGTTGTAAACGGCTTTCATTTTTTTTTGATGACCACTTAAGCAGTAAATAATATTCCCAGCATGCTGATCTTTTTTTTTAAATGTTATACCTCTGAGAGTATTTTGAGCGGCTCAGGGGGTGAATTTTTTAGTTAAAAGTAAACGCTCCTTCCGTAATTATTTCAAAGCCAATATATCAAGTCGCTCCACTGCGGTTCTAAGCCATGTTTTTGCTTCCCCGCACGGCACGTCGTATCCAATATTTCTATAGTTGTATTTGTTTTTCTATTTGTGCAGTTAGCGGGCGGCTGCAGTTGTTGTCTTGAATTAACCTTTGTAAAGGGGGTATGCAGTCAGGTGGAAGCGAAACTTCATGGGCAGAAAAGTCGCTTTTCGATCAACTTGAATTCAGTCGAAGCCGCGGCTTGCGGCAGATGTTAAGTGCATGGAGCTACGCCGTGGTGAGCTCGGAAACGTCTAGCGCTCATCCAGCACGCCACGTGGAGCCCAGTATCTCCGGAATTGTAGTATATTTAAAAAAAAATAAACCCACTCAAGCTATACTCTTAGCAGGGTAACCTTTAGTAGAGCGTGCGTTTTAGCGAATGTGTACCTTTGAATATAGGAGCTACTATGCAACCACCAACACGGTACACTCTACTCAATGATCACGTGACAGCTCCTACCTACCTAAAGGTTAAAGTAACATCTGACATATACACATGTTTTTGTTTAAGTTTAAAGCTGTGGTCGACCTTTGCGTCGGGGTTTTTTTTTAATTATTTACAGTTGTTTTTAGAAAAGGCGGTAATAGCTAGTGGATACCGTCTTCACCGTATTTTCATGTGGTAGGTGGATATTATATGAGAGGGTATAAGTCACATTATGTTCACTAATTAACCAAAGTTTGATCATTTACCTTTAAATTAATGTCCTTATTAATCAAGTTGCCTTTGCTGTTATAACGGGAGTAATGGCGACCACCTATCCCAATCGAGGCAATTCCGGAAAGATAACCATTTTTGAGATATCCATGGTTAAACTTTTGCCTTCGCTCTATTAAAGATCGCAAGCTGATTACAGTCCGTAGGAAAGTGACGTAGTTACATCTGTCTCTCCGTCAATATCATTTAAGTTTGAGGAGGCCCGATACAACTGCGTCAGGCTTCTAGGGACCATCAGGCGCGCCTTTCTGCGTGCGGTTATGTATCACGCAAAGCAAACTTTTACACGGCAAATATCTTAAAGGTTGTCATTTCTCTTTTGCGAAATGTCTAAATTGTGTCCGGCTGTAATAATTGGTCCTGTTAGACTGCACTTGCGACATGGCCAATTGGCCGATTATTTCGAAAATTAATCAACACATTTGAATTAATCAGTCAACAAATTCTGACATTTATCTTCTCATCCAATGCCCGCCGAGCACCAAAAAAATACGGCAAATACTGCATTCATGTAACAATACCTTATTTTCTTGAAAACACTGTAAAGAAAAAAAAAACGTAATGCCTATATAGTATTTATTTCTGTATACTTTCCAACAAGACATCTTCGTTAATTTGAGACACTTCTTGAATAAAACTTCTAGTAACAAAATGAAGCAGGAAGCACGTCCCTCACCCTAAAATCAGTCCTTATTTAAGCTTGACTATAGTCAATAATATTGTGACCATTGCCTTTTTGGCGGTTAGATCGGCTCGCTGATTGGCGACTCTGGGCGTCCTACATAAAACTATGCGCTTGGGCAGCTTAAATAATGCAGTAAATGTGGAGAACTATTCTCTTTATCTTCAAAACCTTAAAGTAATTACAACAAAATATTAAACGCTCTGTGCACGACGATGTTCCAAAATGAATGAACTTTTTTTATGCAAGGTAATGTTCGACATAGGTCACACACGTCTTCATTGTCCCAGCTTAACTTACAATGCTTTCAGTGCTCCGTTCATTATCCCTCAGGGTGCAGTGTCATTGGGCATGCAGAAGCAGTTTTTGGAACATTATGAACCGCTCCGCAAGTGCGAGAGGGTAGTGAATGTTCTTAATGTTATAGATGGCAAGTCACGTCACGAGAGCTTTCTCAAGTGTGCACGGATCACTCAGTGGAACAAGTTCTCCTGGTTTTCCGCCGTAAATCACAATAGTCTCAGCTGTTGCGTATCTGTGAGGGGCAAAGTTAGTTTATCTGGCACCTCTGCCTGCGGAATAAACAGACAAAAAAGAAATCAACTCAACAGCTTGGGGAATTTTTTTATATCGTTGGTGTGCTGAACATTTATCAATATTGGTCTGAGAATATCGGTATTCTGTCCCTCGTTAAAAGTACTACAAGTGGACATTGTCTGCTTGTATGTAATAAGTACTTCAATCTCACTTTTTTGCCGACTTAAGGCATTCTATTGTTATTTACAAAAATCATATATATTAGAACTATTATACTTATTATCAGAAATCTCACACAAGACAATGCACAAAAGTGAGTTTTGAAACATTCCGTACGTGATTGATCAAGGGGTACTTCGCCCCAGCTGGCTGCAGGTGTCGCCTAATGTCAGGAAAGGTACAGCGTTTCTAGTACATGTTCAAAAAGATGTTAACTACATTGATCGCGACGTCCACGAGGGCAAACATTTGCCCTTGGAACCTCAACTCGGACTCAAAAGCAAGCTGTATACAAATAACATTCGGTATCGAGGTTTGAACTAAAGTTTTGATGCAGATTCGATTCTGGGCCGAGTATAACATATTTCTCACTAGCCCAACGTCAAGCATACCTTGTGAAGATTTGGCGTCATAAAGTAATCCAGATGAAACAGCAGCGACGACGAGTTCCAATTCAAAATCATGCACGACAGACGCGCGCAGTCACAACCGCGATCCCTGCAAGACCAAAGTGTCACCCACTTGGGGGCGAAGGCTGTGATGGCGCCGAGGAGTCTGGTCGCGTGAGCTTACGTCTCGATATTTTCAGAATTCATTGAACTAGAAAACTTGGGTTCACTCTCCCTCTAGTTATGCCTCCTCTCTTGCTCGTATCGTCTCGTCAATCCCGGTCTCCCTTTTCAAGTTCTCTTTTTGGGAGGAAACAAAAGAAACAGTCGAGTCAATCGTGTAGAGATTACCTGGTTTGTGTACAATATACATAAAGATTGCGTCGACGCAATATAACAGATATTCCGTGGACATTGGCAGTGTCAAAATGGTACCGGCTTTCTTTAAATGTCATTTTCGAATTGTTCGAAAATGTCTACTATGCGGAGTTATTGCTAATTCAGCAACGATATTCAGGGGAAAAACCCGGTTCGTGTACCATATACATCATGGTTGCATCGCCACAATATAAAAGACATTCCGTCGACATTGGCAGTATCAAAACGGTACCGGCACAACTTTTCCGATACAACGTAAATATTGGCAGTACTGGCACGACTTTCCCGAAACGAGGCGAATATTGCCACTATATTCTCTGCTGCCTGGGTTGTGTTATGATCAGAAGGGCATTCGTAAAGGCTAACCTTGCCAGGATACAGTGAAAAACAGCTGGAAGAGGAACTGGAAGTTGAACGGCGGCTAGGTGCATTTATCTTTATCATGGCCTACACAGACTTTTTTGCCAAAATTGTTTGCCGAATCTTTAAAAACAAATTAGGCTAAATAGCGTATAAATAAAATCAGAGAAGCACACTGAGATTTTTTTATGTTGGTTCCTTGTTGGTTGTTCATTTTTCCGTGTTTGCCGATGCATTTTTAACGCGATTTAATATTAATGCTCATACTTGTTGCACAACACAAATATTTTATTAAAATAAGGTTGTATATATTCGCCTAAATATGACGCGATATAGAGCGTGCAGCAATAAAGCACACTCATAAATAAACGCTAATGAGTAAAATCAGTCTTACTTTATAAAACACCGAAGTCCCAGTCCAATTTGTTAGTTCAAACACGTACATAACATAGTCCAAGCGTTTTAATAAAAATAAAATATGATGTTCTAGTGCAGCACATCATCTTTCAACTTTGGATAAAAGCTTAGATGTACTGTAATTTGTTTCGCCACTGAATAGGCTAGGCTCGGGTACTTTTGTGAGCTATAAAAACGCGAATAAGGGCGAGTATCATAATACTACACCTCTTTCTTTGTTTCATTTAGCGAATCTAATGCAAATTGGCGTCCACATTACGTACAACCACGAAATTCAGGAGATATTTAAGAACGAAAGCCGCGATCCTAACTACTACTTCACCGTGCTTCTTAATGCGGTAAGTACCGGTTTAATGCAATACTTTAGAGGCCAGTCATTAGACATTACACAAGTTTTGTCTTCCAAAATGATGTCACTTGAAAGGTTACCTCATGATTTTTTTTTATTATTTGGGATTATGTTTTGTTTTATTAGGTGATGTTTTTGTTTGGTTAGCCTTTTAATATATGTCGGTCAAGGATAACTTGCTAGCAGCGGCCTGAAATTGGGGTTTCTATTAACATGAGGGTTATATTTACGTTATGTTAAAAAGTTTCCTTTCAAGAGGTCTGCCTGCACACGTGGTGATCTTGCGAATTACTCAACACTTCTTTTGTTTTAAGGTGGAGACCCGACTGGCAACCATTCCAGATGTGACTATTGAGTTGACCTTGGTTGGAACTAATGTTATCAATGTAAGTTTTCAATCAACCATGATGCTAGAGTTTAAAATAAACCTTATGCGGACAAACTGCTCGGCGATACACTCAGAACAAAGAAAACCAATCATTGGACTTTCTGCAGTCAACTAAGCCAATAAGAAAATAAGAGCGAGCGATAGCATGGCCCTGAGGTTATGACGTCTCAATAGCAAAAGGACCCCGCCCCTTTTGTCACTCAGGCTGCATGGCCGATGGATGCTGCCTTCTCGTCACATTGGTTGAACTTGCCCATGGAGGCATGTGCAGCCTCTCAGGCTTTTTACAGCATAACCAAGACGGCACTGGTACACGATATTTGTTAAAAAAACACACGAAAGGCAACGCAAAGCTTGTTTCTAAGAAAATTTGCTTTTTTTGCTAGGCAAAAGTTACAATGCAGGGCAATCAATCCTCAGAGCTTAACAATAGTGAAACGCCAGTCAGGTTAGAACCCAAACAATAAGTTATCAAATAACGTGATCAAACGCAAAATAGTGCAGCACTGAATTAGAGGCGCTCCTTCCTTGATTTTGTTGCATCAAGATTGAATAGTACAAACGCGCATAAAGCATGCATTTGGCACGGCCACTCGATTACGACTCCCCTTGGGAGCGGCCTCCCGTATGCCTCACTCCGCCGGTGAGAGCGATAGTTCTACTTTACCCCGCAGCGCCAGCCGTGGCGCTCGTTATCGGTGAGAGATAGAGTTCCTTTCGGGGGAGCATATCGAGGAACTCTATACTTCGTTTCACGTTAGTATGTACTTGCTAGCCGCGCGTGCTAAAAGCGCGAGATAGTTGCTTCGAAGGAAGTCTTGGCGGCTGCATGAGCGCTCGTGCAGCGAGTGCTCTAGTCAAGGCAGTAAAGCCTAGCCGGTCGCGCTAGCACAGCGTTCGCGGTCATTCCATGCTAAGGTAAGACGAAATATAGTGAGAGAGGAGTAGTATGCCCGGCCCGGCCCGGTGTGGCTATTTAGATTTTTTTTTCGTGAAGCTGCAAGTCTCAATTGAAACGAGTGCCAGATTGCATGAATGATGGGACAAATCTTTGTAGAATAAAAGCGCATGATTCTTTCTGCGAAAAGCTCACTCAGCCGGAGACTGCGCGTTAAAGCTTTATTCTGCTGGCAGTATGAAAGAATTTTCGTTTTCTTGTTCCGTAACTGTTGCCCCGTTTCTATTACCACTGTAATATAGGAGTTATAGTTGGATATAGCTAGGCCGTATAATTTCCGGCTTTAACCGACGCTCGAGCACGCGTGAGCTGTGCCATTTATTCATCTGTGAAGGACAATATAAAAGAGGATTCCGCGTGCGTAACTTCAGCAATATAAACTTCATTGTTCCCAAAAAACAGACCAAGGGAGCCACATAGTTCACAAGCGGAGTACCTTTCGGGAAAGGCTTTCGCGAAAGCCTCAATATATTCTCTAGTGGGCTGTTTAGGTCACCAGCCCAGTTTGCCATAAAAGATCTGAAGAGTTTTTTGAGGAAGAGCTCGCAAAGCTCTTCGCTGTGGTAGGGGTCTCGACAGTTAACACACCACATCAGCGGGCAGTCCATAAGGTGTGGAAGCACAGCGCTCGAGAGGACCTTGCAAATCCTTCCACAACCACGAATCTCTGCCGACTGTAGAGCCCTCTCGACAAAGGTGCAGACGAGCTTCCACAGCCAGACAGCTTTAGGTCGTGGATAGCTGAGTCCTCCTTGGTCAAGGCTAAACATGGACTGATATGCTCCGTCATGTGATGCATTTCCCTTAAGTTGCTCTTGCATTCACGTCACCTGCAAAGTTGAGCGGGTTCTACACATTAGCCTTCCTTGTTTTCACTGAGAAATTCTTATTGCTTTGCTAGGTTGAATGTTTCAGCTAATTACTTTGAAATTACGACAATTTCTATAAATAAAAATGGTCACCTTTTGTTCGCAAACGAAGGCCAAGTAGCCAGCCATGTAAGTCAGCGGTGCGAACTCAAGTTCGGAAGAGACTTCATTGTATTTCATCAACTGCAGGATTTCGCGTTTCACGAGTGGAGTTGGCACATTTCATGGCCGTCTGGCACTCAGAACTAGAACGCGCATTTACAATTCCGGCACCTTCCAAAATGCCAACACAACCACACACGCGAGCGCAGAGTGACACGATATTTTCGCCGAGCACAGCAGTGAATAGGTGGGGGGAAAACGAGTTTTGCTGCTTTCTGCAACCGCGGCAGCGCCTCGGTATCGGCGAAGCCAATGACAGGCAGATATTTTATCTGGGTAGCGGAGCAAGAGCGCGTTGGGCGCCTTCTCTATGCTCCGTTTCACCCTATGTTGTACCGCAGCAAAGGATGGAAGCGCGAGCTCATAGCGTTGACAGCTGCCCTTACTGCACGAGAGCTTGTGCCACCGAGATCTTCCCCAGAGCAAGGAGCTCGCGCTTACAGCCTTTCCTGCGGTACAACATGTATAGCTTTCAGCTCAAAGGGCCGCTCACCGATGTGCAGTGCCCCCACGGAAAATGGGAGAAGTTCTCCTCTCACGCGCGCTCTTTTGTTTTCGGAAAGACATCGGCAGGCCGCACCAACAGGGGGGATCGAGTGGCCGTGCATTTGGCGTCAAAAATGATGTTTTGTCCAGAGAGGCAACGATCCCTTGATGTATTATTGTGATGAAGTGAAGCAGACAGACTACATCGAAGTAATGTTTTTTTCTTTGCACCCCTCTCCAAATGAAGGTATAAAAACAAATAGCTTGTACTTAAATCTAAAATTGAATTTGAAAAGAAATAGTGATGGCCTCATTCGCTCAACCAGACCTGTACGTATCTCAGAGAAAAGTCGAGTATCCTTAATATAAACCCCGTTTTACGTAAACCTCGCTATATAGACAAGATCTATTAGTTTGTATACAATTTTTCCCCCTGTAATATACCTCCTCACCGGACTGTGATGAGCCAAATTGAAATAATCTGGGTATCTAAATGCATTTTGTCGTGCTATCTCGGACACGGGTTTTCTGAACAAGGATCCCAAATACAAATAAAATATTATTACACTCCCGAGCTTCACCTTTGTTTGATGTTTTATTACTCGTCTTGAGAAAGTAATCAGCCATCGGCACAAAAATGTAGTTTAATTCCTCTGAGGTTTCAAGCCATATTGGGCATTTGCTTTTTCTCTTTCCGTTTTGTCAACGCTGGTGGAAGTCCAGTGTTTTTTTTTTTTTTTAATATTGCCTAACGGTTATCGCGCTTCCCTCCCACGCGAAGGGCCAGGGTTCGATTCCTGGGAGCGACGTGTCTTTTGTTTATCCCTGCATTGTAGTGTTCTGGAATAATCGGCGTGGAAAGTTCGACGCGTAGAACATTCGCACCTCGAACAAGCACCAGGATTCTCGAATTTGCCAGAACACTACAATGCAGGGATAAACAAAAGACACGTCGCTCCCAGGAATCGAACCCTGGCCCTTCGCGTGGGAGGCAAGCGCGATAACCGTTAGGCTACGGCCGCGCTGCCTACTTGGCGCGCGACAACCCCGCACCTCCACCAAAATGTCACGGGTGGTGACCAAAAATAACGAATAAACAGGAAGAAATAAACGTTTAATGTGGCGAACTTGTGCCAAAAATATAAGAGTACAAAAGGATAATAATAGAGCGTCGCGGGCGTCGAAGTCGGCGTGGCAGCAGAGTTGAACGCTGGGGCGAGACTGAATGTGGCTCGCCACGCGGAGCCCCTTTATGTACATGCGTGGGCTTCTGGAATAATCGGCGTGGAAAGTTCGACGCGTAGAACATTCGCACCTCGAACAAGCACCAGGATTCTCGAATTTGCCAGAACACTACAATGCAGGGATAAACAAAAGACACGTCGCTCCCAGGAATCGAACCCTGGCCCTTCGCGTGGGAGGCAAGCGCGATAACCGTTAGGCAACGGCCGCGCTGCCTACTTGGCGCGCGGCATTACTCCCCCCTTAAAAAGTGCATCGCCCCGATGCAACACAAAACAAAGCACATGAAAAGAACGTCAAACTAAAGAGTCATTTGAAACACAAAAGATCCACAGTCCTATCGAGCGTAGTACGGCTTCAGGCGCACGACGTGGACAACTTCAGGTCGTGGTGGGCGGTGTGATGATGTTCTTGTTCCGTCGGGCATCACCTCGTAGTTCAGCTCGCCGAGGCGACGAAGTACCTTGTATGGTCCAAAGTATCGTTTCAGCAGTTTCTCACTGAGGCTGCGGCGACGGATGGGCGTCCACACCCACACCCTGTCTCCGGGCTGGAAGTGAACGTCCCTGCGACGAAGGTTGTAGCGGCCCGCGTCGACGCGTTGCTGGTCTTGAATCATGAGTCGGGCGAGCTGGCGGACTTCTTCGGCGCGTTGAGAAACCGCCTGGGCGTCGTCGCTCTCATTGTCAGATGGCTCATGGGGCAGCATTGCGTCCAGCATGGTCGTTACCTTCCGACCATGTACCAGCTGGAAAGGGGTGAATCCAGTGGTCTCCTGAACCGCCGTATTGTAGGCAAACGTGACGTAGGGCAACACCTCGTCCCATGTCTTGTGCTCTACGTCGACGTACATAGATATCATATCGGCGATTGTCTTGTTGAGTCGCTCGGTCAGCCCGTTGGTCTGCGGGTGGTATGAAGTGGTTCGACGATGGCCGGTGCCACTGAGACGAAGAAGCTCTTGCGTCAGCTGGGCCATGAACGAAGATCCGCGATCTGTAATCAGAACTTCGGGAGCGCCGTGCCGGAGGACGATGGACTCGATGAAAAACTTGGCGACTTCCACAGCGGTCCCTGAAGGAAGAGCTTTCGTTTCGGCGTACCGCGTGAGATAATCTGTGGCGACGATGATCCAGCGGTTCCCCGACGTCGAAGGCGGAAAAGGACCAAGTAGATCCATTCCGATCTGCTGGAAGGGTGTAGTTGGAGGAGAAATGGGCTGCAGAAGTCCGGCCGGCCTCGTCGGCGGTTTCTTGCGTCGCTGGCACTCGTGGCATGATC